TCACAGTATTGCTGCGTAATTAGTTGCCACCAAGAAGAAGCTAAATCATACAGCCCCAACCAAACCATGTTCCGGATGCCATCAGATCAATCAACCTCTAACAAAGAATGTACGCAAGCAACACCACAACGCGAATCAGTGTAATCTCTCTAGGGGTGCTGTAGCTACTACTGTGCCTCTGTTTCAGCAAATGGAGCTTAGATCTTTTATGTCCATGCCTACAGAATCACAGCTCTATTTATCTCTACTCTTTCACAAAATTGGTAACTTTCAGCATCAAGCAACGTCTTATGTGATTAGTGACCGAGAGAGATTACACTACTTAGCAGGAAGTGATGTAGATACATCTTAGCCTGCAAATTGAGTCAAAAAGTATAAGATTATAAGTATGTACAAAGTATTATTTGTTCATTGACTCGACAAAAAGGATAATATACTGGATTGTCTGAACTATTTTTGTATTTGATCTGCAAATTGAGTCAAAAAGAATTTATCTCATATAAGATAATTAATAGTTCCACACAACTAATACAGTTAGATAAAGGACTCAAATAAATTAGGATATTTATTTTCGTGTACAATAAATTAGAGCTCTCTCTCTCGCTCCAGCCAGTAAAACAAAGAGACTCTGAGCTTAAATTAGTTGAGCGAGCACATTTTGCACTAAAGGCCTGTTTCCTATTTCAGTTCATGTACAACCTCTTTTCCTATCCAATATTGATCATCCAATTAACAGTATCAATGTTGCAATTGATAGTTACGAATGTGGGAACAATATATGTACTAAGTAAACTGAAAGGAACTCAAGTTTTATATTTTGACCAACTGGTCTGCACTAATCGTAATATCTTGTTAATTCCCAAATGGAACCATCTTGAAAGTAAAATCTCAACGACAAACTTACATAATCACTAAATTCATACACATCAGAGAAACAAAATACCACAGATGGTAGAGCATTATTTAAGTTCATAGTTGATTGTCAAATAGCATGGATATTACTTAATATTCTCATGAGTTTATTTTAGTAAGAATATACATAATAATAGAGATTCTACCTCGGCAATTAAGCAATAATTTTCTCAGCAGTAGAGAAGTTTCAACCAATGTGAAGGAAGAAAATAGAGCAAAGCACTCTCTACATGAAAAACACATACAACTCTTTACCTTCAGAAATTGCCTCATTGGTTGTATCCTTAAAGCAGTGGAAATAATAAATCTTTGGTGCAATCAAATGACCAAATAGAAAAGGCCTACACAAAAGAACATTGTATTAGAAAGAAATATGATCCATGTGGTACCAGCAGTCTGTAAGCACTAAGAATAAATATCCTATCGTGCCTAAAAAGACAATAATTGCAGGTTACCTATTAATGGTGCCCTTTTATTCACATACATCATTTAAGCCCTTCTCCTCGGAATATGGAACTCTGTATCCAGCCAAAGGAGATACAAATGTATCAATGATTCGATGTTCATCACACAAAGGCCAAGTTGAACAGTGCCATGATGTAAACTTACAGATCAGTAAATGCTGACTTGCGCATGGCAGCAACCATATTAAACCTAGTAATAATTAAATCTTGCATAGGCAAGTCACATGACCAAGTAATATATTGTACACCGAGAACATGAAACATGTGGCAGTGCTGGCCTTGAAGATTATCGATAGACTGCTCTCTAGATAGAATCAGTGAGAGAAAGAGAGAGTACATTGCACGGTGGCGAAACATAAAGTTGATGAACCTATTATAAACCAAGTTGATTCTAGCATGGCTATCTGTTAACATTACATCATTCAAGACAAGAGATCAATATTACCAGTTTAAGAGAACAATAGCCTTATCACCAATGCATAGCGTAATGCGTGCATCATACCAATGACCATAGCCAATGACTAAAGCACAACCTGATTTTTCTTGCGGCTATAGTTCTCTCAACAGACCACCCCTGTTTTTTTCTTGTGGCATAAGTTCTCTGAAAGTGCCCATTGTTATACAAAGAATTAGATATTTTACATATACAAAGCCTAATAAGCATTCTAGTAACCAAATCAGTATTACAAGAACAGATACAAAAGCTAATCAGCACACTAAAGAGCACATCGCCATTACATAATGTATATGACGATACCTTTCTCACCGTTGATGTGTATAGGGTCACTGATCCTTGCCCCCTTTCATGTTGTAGTCGTGGTTGGATCCGTAAAAAGAGTGAGAGTAGATTAATACATCAACTTTATCTGTATAGAATAAAGCCCAGTGTCATTGCCTATTGTCGTTTGTGTATGTGGTTGCTATTAGATGAAATAGTGTGATCACGGTGAGTTAAAGACAATGGTCCAGAAAAAATAAATCAAGAGTTAGTTCTTGCACAAGTTTATCTGCATATATGATTCAATATATCGTCTGAGGATAATACAACGGCTACCTGAATAACTGAACCAACCATCACGAACACAGCATCATTGAACGTATCTTTATCATCACTGAAGTAGATCGGGTCATCGACTGTCGCCACTTTCATAATTCGCCTGGTACAGGCGGATGCATCCATTGAGACACATCAATTTCACCAAACTTGTCAGGCAACAATGGCAGTAGAAAGCCTTATAATGTTACCTCTAGTAGCACAGCAGAAAACAGATGAGCCCACTGTCTACATGATGACAACAGCCGGAATGACAATGTTCTTGACAAAAAATTGCATTGGCCTGCAGAAGGTACAAATAAGAATTTTTTGACATTGTATAGATGAAACATGGGTACTCCATCATCATGGACCCAAAAAGACAGGTAGTAATAACCTTGAAAGACACGAATGAGGCAACGTGAGAACAACAATAGATGAATGAATAATTGGAATTTGATATGTGTGCAGTTCCTGCAAAACTGAAGAACACAACATCATGAGAGGTGTATCCTCCCCTGTCAGACTGCTTGGATTCATGTTTGTAGGCCACTCCTACTCTGTAAAATAAGAGGAAATCAAGCTGACATCAGAGAGAGAGAGAGAGAGAGAGAGAGAAAGAGAGAGCAACCTGGGCAGCTTGGCGATGACGGCCATGGAGCTGACATGTTCACCCTTGGGCAGCTGCAACTCGCACCGGAAGGTGGGCGCTGGCTCGGTGCCGCTGGCCCTTGCCTTGAACTGGAGCCCACGGCCTTGGCGTCCATCTGCGTCCTCTCCATGACACCGATCCACCCGGCGCAAGAATAGAGATGGCGGCGGCGGCCGGATCCGAAGACGGCGGGGTGGCGACCACTCCCGTGAGGCCAGGCGGCGAGCAGCACCCCTCTTGCTGAGGGCCAAGGGGGTGTGGAGAAGGAGACACCAGGGCGAGCGCAGCGGTGGCGGCAGGTAGCGCAGCACCCGACCACCACGAGCGCCAGCGCCGGTGCTGTCATCTAGGTGGCGGTGGGTGGTGGCGGCGGCGATGTGGGTGGGAGGAGAGGAGGCGCGCGGGAGGGGAGAGGAGGCGGCAGCGAGGCGGGAGGAGCTGGGCGCGGGGGAGGCGCGGGGCGGAGGCGCGAGCGAGGGAGGCCGGCGGCAGCGGGGAGGTGGGTGGCGGCGGCGGCGACGTGGGTGGGAGGAGAGGAGGCGCGCGGGAGGGAGGGAGGGAGGCGGCTGCGGGAGGAAGGAAGAGAGGAGGAGGCGGCTAGGTCGAGTGCGGGCTGGGGAGCGGCTAGGTCACCTCCACAAGAGCGGCCCCCTTTTATACCCCACGATGCAAAATGACGAAAATGCCCCCAGCGGGGCAGTATAATTACGCGCGGTGGCACGAACGGGGTGAAACTGTTCATTGCAACAGAAAAAAAATTTATCCGACGGACGAGGTCGCTCCAGGGGTCGATCCGACGGCTCAGATCGCATCAAGCGTGCAGATCCAACGGTCAGGAAGGCGAAGCGGCTGAGAAGGCTGGAGGATGACTGAAGATCTTATTTCTCGATTGTAACGACCAACATTAGGTATGGCAAGGTGGACATTATAACAAATACAACCACAAATGATGGGACGGGATACAAGAGTAATAGTACGAAAAACAAATGCCATACATAGCTAAATCACCAATTAGAGGCCACATGACCCAACATTACATCTGAATTATCATACAGAAGGCATAATCCGAGTAGCGGATAAGAACAATTTGGACTAAAGAGGCCCCAGTTAAATAAAGTAACGTCGATGCTCCTAATCCCAGGCTACCAACCAGGAATCCATCCTATGATCGTCGTCAAAGAAGAAGAACTCCAAATAGAACATATATCACTCTCACATTAGAGAATCGTTTTACCCGTACATGCACCTGTTGTTGTGGTATCCGTGAGTCATTGAGACTCAGCAATAACATTACCAAGGATATCAAGACTAACAATACTTATGGGTTCAAAAGTGTTTAAGTGGTGAGGTTGTAGCAAGCACCAAACATTCGTAAACCAACTAGTCCCATGAGTACTAGAACAAGAAGGTTAATTCCTATGCATCAAGGGGACACAACTAGAATGATTAAGTAAGAATTGATCCTGAACACCTACTTAATTACGAGTCATTCATAAACCCAACATGTTCTCTTCTTGATCAGAATCTCACAAGAAGAGGCAATCACGGTACGCACATGGTTGGCAAGTCTACAACCGAAGGTTACAAAATTCCAAATCGTCCATCACCGTAGACACGACTTTCTGAAAGATTTAATCCTGTAGGGGTGCTCCAACTCGTCCATTATAAATTATCACATGCATATGTTGGAAACGTCAACAATGTGTTACCACAAAGCATCCTAGGAATCCAGTGTAACAAGTCCTCGAGCTAATGTAAAATAGTCCAGAGCGACCTCCAGGTGAGTCAGATATGTATCCAGAGCCGCACACACTCTATCTCCGGACTCATCTATCTATTCAAAGTGGGCGATAGCCAAAACTCGAGCTGTCACGAGACGACACCACCGACTGCTAGGTAGTGGGCCCAATGCCTTTTATGCATTGGCCGAGGTTGTCGATTAAGAGTTGCTATTCCCATTGGAGTTGTTGGATTTCCTAAAGAGGAAAGGTGTGTTGGGGAACGCAGTAATTTAAAAAAAAACTCCTACGATCACGCAAGGTTTATCTAGGAGATGCATAGCAACGAGAGGGGAGAGTGTGTCCATGTACCCCCGTAGACCGAAAGCGGAAGCATTTCAATAAAGCGGTTGATGTAGTCGAACTTCTTCGTGATCCAACCAATCAAGTACCGAACGTACGGCACCTCCGCGCTCAGCACACGTTCATCTCGATGACGTCCCTCGTACTCTTGATCCAGTTGAGGCCGAGGGAGAGTTTCATCAGCACGGTGGCATGGCGACAGTGATGATCAAGTTACCGGCGCAGGGCTTCGCCTAAGCACTACGACGATATGACTGAGGTGTGTAACTGTGGAGGGGGGCACCACACACGGCTAAAAGATCAACTTGTGTTGTCTGTTGTGCCTTTGGGGTGCCCCCTGCCCCCGTATATAAAGGAGGGAAGGAGGAGGCCGGCCAACAAGGGGCGCGCCAGGGAGAGGGGAGTCCTACTAGTACTCCAGTCCTAGTAGGGCTCGACCCCACCCTTTTTTCCTTCTACTAGAGGGGGAAAAGGGGAAGGAGAGGGAGTAGGAGAAGGAAAGGAGGGTGGCGCCCCCTTCCCAAGTCCAATTCGGCCTCCTCCCTTGTGGGGGGCACACCAGCCCCTTGTGGGCTGGTTAGCCTCCCTCCTATGGCCCATAAGGCCCATATCTTTCCCCGGGGGGGGGGTCCGGTAACCTCCCGGTACTCCGGAAAAATGCCCGAATCACTCTGAACCATTCCGATGTCCAAATGCAGCCTTCCAATATATGAATCTTTACCTCTCGACCATTTCAAGACTCCTCGTCATTTCCGTGATCTCATCCGCGACTCCGAACAAACTTCGGTCATCAAATCACATAACTCATAATACAAATCATCATTGAACATTAAGCGTGCGGACCCTACGGGTTTGAGAACTATGTAGACATGACCGAGACACATCTCCGGTCAATAACCGATAGCAGAACCTGGATGCTCGTATTGGCTCCTAGATATTATACGAAGATCTTTATCGGTCAAACCGCATAACAACATACATTGTTCCCTTTGTCATCGGTATGTTACTTGCCCGAGATTCGATCGTCGGTATCATCATACCTAGCTCAATCTTGTTACCAGCAAGTCTCTTTACTCGTTCCATAATACATCATCCCGCAACTAAATCATTAGTCACAATGCTTGCAAGGCTTTATAGTGATGAGTATTACCGAGAGGGCCCAGAGATACCTCTCTGAAACACGGAGTGACAAATCCTAATCTCGATCTATGCCAACCCAACAAACACCTTCGGAGACACCTGTAGAGCACCTTTATAATCGCCCATTTATGTTGTGATGTTTGGTAGCACACAAAGTGTTCCTCGGTATTCGGGAGTTGCATAATCTCATAGTCTGAGGAACGTGTATAAGTCATGAAGAGAGCAGTAGCAATGAAACTGTAACAATCATAATTCTAAGCTAACAGATAGGTCATGTCCATCACATCATTCTCCTAATGATGTGATCCCGTTCATCAAATGACATCACATGTCTATGGTTAGGAAACATAATCATCTTTGATTAATGAGCTAGTCAAGTAGAGGCATACTAGGGACTATATGTTTTGTCTATGTATTCACACATGTACGAAGTTTTCGGTTAATACAATTCTAGCATGAATAATAAACATTTATCATGAATTAAGGAAATAAATAATAACTTTATTATTGCCTCTAGGGCAATTTCCTTCATTCTCCCACTTGCACTAGAGTCAATAATCTAGTTCACATCACCATGTGATTTAACACCAATATTCACATATGTAT